ACTGTATTTTATCATTTTAATTCTTCTTTTGTCTAAAATTATGCAATTTTAGATGTATAAAAGGAGTTAGGCTATGATATATTGAGATTTTAAACATTGTTCTGTAAGTACGGTATGCACATAGCATGTCTTCCGACTTACAAATACGACTTAAGAACGTCTTCAAGAACGGAACCCGTTCGTAACCTGGGGACCCCCTGTACTGTATACTGTACAGTACTGTATATGTACAGTACATGGAAAAGGAAAGATTATAAAATTATATTGTACCATTTAGTCATTGAGGAGATAATCTGGTGGTAGTTTTTTAGAGAGATGTGGGAGCTATAGGGAAAGCAGTTAAATTAAAAATCTTAAGTCATATCAGTAAACTTGACAAGTGATTACAGTAAGTCCTCGCTTAACGTCGTCCCGCTTAACGTTGTTTCGGTACTACGCCACTGAACTTTAGAGACCATAAATTTGTTTAACGGGACGTTAAAAAATTTTTTGGTGATCCAATACTATGTTGTTTTGCGTCGTCATGGACTACGGTACTTTCTACAGCGCATCACCCGCTCTTGTCTGGCCGCGCTATGCTCTCTCAGCTCGGTATAAGATAACCTGTTGCCAACTACAAGTGATGAGGATGAAAGCGGAACTGAGAAATTAGAAGGAATTACCAGTAAATAAATAAAAACAGAAAATATTGTGAGAGGAAAGACACCATTGCTTTCTGTATACTATCATTATTAATATTATCAATACTATTGTTGTTTTTATTAAATAAAAGGCTTTCAGGAAAAACACGGTTTCCTGTACAAAATTGAAAATGGGTCATGTAGCCCAAAAAAGCCGCTAGGTTAAAAACTCAGGTTCAATTCATTATTCATAGAATTAAGGACAAAAAATGAATACATGAAGAGATTAAGAACCTGAATTATGCCAGTCAGTGTATGTACAGGAGAGTGAGGTGGGAATGAAGGGAAAACTCCAATGACCACCAAAGTACTATACTGCAAGAAGCTTTCTCTCAGTAGCTATACAAACCTTTCCCTGATAAAATCTAGTACTGTACTGTACTGTATTTGTCCCATCTGACAGTGCACCATTCCCTAAAGAAAGGGTCAGTTAATACCTGCATGCCTAAGTCACAATCTGACTAAATGGGTTAATCCACGATCTTCAGCAATTACTAAGCCAGACTTTTCACTCACATCCTCTTGATATCAGGCCGAGATGTACGCTATGTTACGGTTATTATTCAACTCATAATTTCAGGTAGCTAGACTTAACTTTCTTAAAAAAAATTTCACTTGGTTGCATGCACCCACAATCCTACATACAGAATCTGCAATAATAATAATAATAATAATAATAATAATAATAATAATAATAATAATAATAATAATAATAATAATAATAATAATAATAATACTGTAATAATAATAATAATAATAATAATAATAATAATAATAAAACAAAATAATAATAATAATTATCATAAGGTCAAAAACATAAAAGGAATAAATGATATCTATCATAATTCTGAGGAATTGTCAAAAGTCCCGCTTTCCACAAGTGACTGTTGTAGGAACATTAAGGAAGAAACAGTTCTCTTAAGTATTTGTAATATCACACATATTGTGAACAAGGATTGCAGAAAAAGAACATTTCTCATTTTCCATGGAGACCCAGGGTCACATGAGAATTCTGCCGAACTGTGAAAACCACATTCAAACTTACTTCCTTTTCTACTTCCTATTCAAATCTACAAGATTCAGAAATGGAATAGTTGAGCACTCATACTCACACACTCAACTATATTTGCAAGCTCAAAAAAAATTACATAAAAGTACAAAAACAAGTCTATGAAGTTACTGGTATATCAGAAAATGCATCCTCCAAGAATACAGTACCAATACCTGTACAGTATTTGGCAGTAGAGTACAGTACATAACACACTTCCGCTGCAACCATGCAAAGTGAAATTAAAAGTCACACAATACAGTTAACAACCACTTAATGTATGTTCAATGAATGTAAAGTTCACAGATACAGAACATACTTTTTTATAATGGTACCATGCCTGATCATACGTATGGATGTTTGCACATACTGTACACTGTCATACAGAGTACATACTGGTACACTACACCTATGTTAGACCTATCCACTGCTACTGATTGCATTGCATGAGAAAATTATAAAATAAAGGACACAATTTCCAAGACAAAGGTAAGTTTAGGTTAGGTCCGGTTTCATTCAGTCCTTTTTTTGTGTTTTTACCCCACAATTTGTCTTTCTTTCAAAGCCCTGGAAAATTTTTAGCCTCAACAAAGGACCCTATATTCATGCTGTACTAAATATATATTACTACCGGTATTATTATCTCCATTATTCCAACTTGGAATAATGTAGGCTGATGTTCAAACATTTTCCATTAAAAAACCCTAATCTTAAAACCTACATTCTTAAATTTCCAAAAATACATTAGTAGCAGCAGCTGTATAGTTTTAAAGCTGTATCTTTTTTTTTTTAACGTTGATCATCAATAAACTAGCGAGCACAATATAAGATATGAAAATGTGGTGTCACTGCCAACTCTGTTACCAACTTGTAATTACCATGATGTTCTTTATATAACTACTAAAATAGTAGCCTGTTTAAAAAAGTGCATTGGTTAACTGTCTATGATATTATTATTCATATTAAATGGTGTAAAACTGGTGTAAAGCTGTAGAAAACACCATCTCTTTTACTGAAGAACTGAAGGAAGTATATTCCCTTAAGTAGGCAAATAAATTACCTTTTACTGCAAAATAATCAACGTGTTGCTTTGAGAAATTATCCCTAGATATATATAGTTTGATGTCAATAACCTACTGACTTTATATAAATTTTTATTGAATAACCTGGTGTTATCGCACAATATCATGCTAAGGTGCACTGGGTTTAATGTGTTTATACTTCACAGCATAACTTAAAACTATGAAGTACTGTACCGATACCAGTGGGTCAAATTGTAGAAGGGCTCACCCTGAAGAAATTTTGTTTGAAACTCTTAAAAAATACTTTTAAAACAGTTTATAGTTAACTAAAATTAGCATACATAAAATCTATACTGTACACTATAACCTTTACATCTTAATACATACAAGACATTGATTCAAACCCATAAGCAGGTACAGTTATAAAGCAGAAGGAATATGTGGGGTTGAAACAAATGGTGCAACTATAGCTTGCGGTCTGCCAGATATTTAGCATGGTTAGGTTAGGTTAGGTTAGACTAATGATAACTTTGTAGACCGCATGCTACACTGTAGTAGCACCAAACAAATACAGTACTGTACTGTACTGTGAGAGAATATTTCAAGACACTGGCATATACCAATCCAAGGAAAGTTTAAGTTTTAAAGAAAAAAAAAGGGGGGGAGGGAGGAAGGAGGAGTCAGATTTCAGTTAAATTCTTAAGGACATCTATAACCTTCCACCTTGTGTGCACATGATAAAATAAATATTTTACCACTTTTTGCAAGAAGCAATATGACACCAAAGGCGAAGGATTTTGACAACCCTACTGTGACAACACGAGTTGTATTGAACATTTCAAAATTCATCTTACCCATCCAGGAAGATTTTTTTCTCCATATCTAGTCCAATACTGTATCTACTTTTAATGATATAACTGTGCAAACGCACTGCATAAAAAAAATATGATTGGATTAAGAGTAGAAGGCATTCTGAAATGTGACTAACATATTCACTTTTGTCAATGTTATTAGATTACCATAGAGTACTGTACTATCAACTACAGTACTCACATAAGGAGTAAGCTACAGGTAAAGAAATAAGCTTTTCTTTGATGTAGTAACTTGTCTTACAATGAATGGGATGCAGGGCCTATAGATTAAGAAATAAGAATATATGCACGTAACTGCACCGCCTTTTCTTCTGTCCATGGCAGTTACTGATAAAATATATATTATCTGTCATCTTTGACTACGGTTTGTGTACAGTATTCTCATAATTCTATTTCTCTATGCCATTAGGTTTGGCTATTAATCACAAACTGTTGTTAAGAGACCACAGCATTTCTATAAAAATAAATAAAAAAACTGTAAAAATAATAATAATTTGGGTGTGGAAATTGGTGACCCATCCATTAACAGAAAAATCTAAGGATAACCTACCTCTGCCAACCAATAAATTCTAATCTGATAAAAAATGCCCATGCTCAGTGGTTCATCCTTGGTAGTTACAGTATGCTTAAGAGTTCAGTGACACTCATTTTCGCTCCAGTGCAGTATCAGGTAAGGAGGCTATGACCTACTTACCACTGTGTTCAAATTTGATGCCAAGATGTCGAATATATTAGCTGCTTGCTTACCATTGTGATGCGTTGTATATATTCAATGCCATGACTTGACCTTACTCTCTTATCTACTGAATATAGGTACACTAAGGTACATAATTTCTTGTGAATTTTTTTTAATATAGACCAGTGCTGCATAAAAGGTGAATTATATATAATATTAACACTCTAGGATATAAGGAATCATGTATTTTATGAGCACTGACTGCTCTCCAACACCAACTGTACTAAACATTCAAGCAAGGTTTGAACGAAAACTCCATTAATAATTTCAATGATTTGTATTACTCATGTTATAATTGAAATCTTCATATAAATTCAGCAAACGTTTACCAAAACTTTTCATAATTTACCCAAATTTTCATTTCTTGACTTGGAGTGTTACGTTTAGGAGTTCAAGATTGCGAGTAGTGTAACATCGTTTCGAGCAAACCAGTTTAAACCATGAAGCGATCAATTGAGGTTATGATTTGACAGGGTTATTTTAAATATTTATGTAATATATTACCTAGGTCAGGTGACACTGGGTACTGGCTGTCCTCTGATGCCTAAAGCCAAGCATATGAGACATGACGGTTGTTTTCGAGTGACAGTTTCTCTAATGGACTGGCAACACATAAAACTCGATTCTTATACATAAACTTACCCTGACCAGCCTTGATTGTCGTTATTCAAACTAATCAAACAATCAATTTGTGATAGTTTGAGCGACTACGACTGCAGAGAAGCCTCTCGTCTTCCAGCCTTCCCTCATATGACCCTCAGGTATCCAATAACAGTCAGTTTATGACAATTCTACGTATGGTAATACTGTTATTGACTAAGCAGAACAACGCGTCAAAATCTGGATTTTATACACGTCATAAGTAAGAAATATTTACTATATTAGTAATACTCCAGGGTCAACGATCCACACTGAACTTCCATCAAAACATTGACTATAGACGTTTGGAAAAGAAGGATACTAGTTATAACTATTTATATGTATTTATTTCTATAAGATTTATAACAGCTATAAAATATCTAAATCTCCCTGACACCGGTTTAATACTCTTCAATACCCAGCAAGTTTACATAGTTTATTGTATAAATTCGGGTGTCGTCTGCCAAAAACTTAGCAGACGAAACGGACTCCTTCGGCGGGACATACGAACGGCAGGACTACGGTCGACGGAGGAGCTGAGCTAGTGTTCCATTCACGAGTCAGCAGTTGCGTTAGCGCCAAAAACAGATTCCAATGAAATGTACCCTGTACACGGTTGTTTCCATTGGCATGGTTGCGTTAGCGTTATGCGTTTGCACTGCATGCCAATCGCACCCTGTAGCGATTGAAAACGTAAACGCACTGCAAACGCATGAATGGAATCCCCGCTTTACCTGTCACATTGCATCTTGCTAGTGTTTATGCTTCGTGCACAAAATAAGGTCACATTATTGGTTTCAATAAAATTTTAATTTTGAGGTATGTACCGTACTGTGTGCATTTATTAATGTGAACATATTAGGATAATTTCTTGTATACACAAAAGCATACATAAATTATCACAACTAGCTGAACATCACTCCTAATTTTACTTTACTTTAATCTCTTCGCCACTGATCGTCATATTACTTCATTAGCCGCTTGGGCAGTAGTTTACGTCTCTGTTCACTGCCCGCAAGTACTACTGGGCATGTACAATGAAAGGCAAACGTCGTGTCGTGAAATTTGGTGAAAACATAAGCCGAAGGGCTAACTTTTGATGCGCTCTGCCTTGTGGTAGGGCTCTCATAATGCTTCACGAGTTATGTTCAATCTTCGGACAAAACTGCGACACGACTTTTATCTTTGATTGTATATTATGTAACACAAGTTAGGTAATATGGCGCCCCTGCACAGTCAAACTCAGGGATGAAAATATAGATGAAAAAATCCATAAAATAATTACGAGGCGACGCGCATGTCATCAATATCAGCCAACATGGAAATAACCAGAGTAGCTTAAACAACCATACAGTAGTTTGAACAACCTTACCTTAGTAATCAAAAGACTACGGTTCTGCCGGAAAAATTCTTCCACGAACAGTAAACACATGAAATATCGAGTCCGATATTACAGTTCCACTTAATTGTACAATAAACTAGTAAATTTGATGATTTGAAACTTGACAGGACTGCCTTCCTGCGTGCTCTCGGCTTCAAGCCTATTGGATAAGTGACCCAATTTTCTCCGATGGAGAAAACAGCAGGGGTGCGAAAAGCGTAGAGGTATTATGGGGTTTCGTGATGTCTTGTCTCACACTCAGGATGGGTTGGAGAAACGAAACTCAATGCGTTTTCTGTATATATATATTGTATTGAATGTACAGTGCAGTTTGGTGCTGTGAAGTTGCTGCGTGGTTAGGAGCTTGCTGGTTCGGGAGCGTGGAGTAGAGAGAGCTGGTTGGTGAGGAGCTTCCTCAGAGCAGGTGTTGTGGGACTCAGGTAGACGAAGAAGGGAGTTCACGACGAGGTGAGGGCTTATATAGCGGAGGTAGGCGTGACTTGATAGCCGACCTCTGCTTTGTCAGACCACGAGGCATTGGCTGGGGAACTGCTAGTCAGCGACAAACGGCAATTGTAGTATTTACCACTCCCTGTCACACGCCGACCTCTGACTCCTACTACCGCCTGGGAGATATTGGAAGCATAATGTGTGGTCTAATGGTAGACCCTGCTGCCATATGGCATCACGAAAATTGTGACCAAGTCCCAGGTTGCTGATCTGACTTTCTGGTTACACACAATTGATGGGTCTCAATTGTTTCTCTTACTTTGACAACACAACATACATAATATATATCGTTTCTCATTCTTGATTTATTTTTCTCGTTTTTGTATTTTATGGTTATTTTTATTATTTTTAGTATATTATTTGTATTTTTAGTACAGGTATTTTGTTAACTATAATAATAATAATAATAGTAGTTATTATTATTATCGCATTTTGGCCCCCCAGGCCCTGATGTGGGTCAGTGACCTGTGCCTGGGTGGGCTAATCCCCGTATAATAAAAAAAAAAGTATCCACCACCCCTCAATGCTTACCTTCTGCCCTATATACTTCCCTTCACTGTTTGTAGATAGGCTTAACACACACACCCCACACTCTCTCATTTGGTTTTCACCAGTCTTGACCCCTTCTCCCAGACCTTTAAAATATGTTGGATCTGCCTTTAATATATTAATGTATTATTAATACTGTACTGTTTTTCGTTGACTGGAAAAGTGACTCAACAATATACCTTCAATCCACCGGTATACATAACCCACAGCCAGCATATGTTCGAAGCCCAGCCCACCTGGGGTCACCTGCAAATTATAATTTAAAGATGCCCTCAAAACTTCTTGGCCAGTCCACTCATTTGGTGCTAGTATATATTTTGGGTTATTCCAGCCCACATCTCCTTTGTCTATGGATTTGCATGAAATAAATATTATTTTGCTGTAAATGAAAGTAAAATGCAAATTTCTCAAAGTATAGCTAATGAAATATATGTGTACATATATAAAATTATATTTGAAATTCAATTTTTTCTAAATTTGATTTTCTTAGTTACTAAACCTAGTTTACCAACTGATTAGTTTGGGTATATGTCAGATGAAAAAGGGAGACTCTCTTTAATCAGGGGCCCAACGTCCTTGCACCTGTTGGCTGCCTTTAGAAATAAGACAGGATGCCAAATCCATCAACATTGCCCATTAAAGTACCTGTAAAAGAGAGTGCGAAGCAACATTGCAGCAAAGAGAAAGGGAAGAGAGATTATCAACTAAAGGAGGAGTTAATAAGACGAAATGCCTTTGATTCCACCCTATCTAACAGTTGGACAGAAGAAGAGTTACCCCGGATTATCACCACCTTACAATTTCTCTTGTAAAAACCTATGCTTACTGTGGTCAGGGATCGTATTGTCTTGGGTGATTTTCATTTTTTTCCCATAAAGTAAATGCTAGATGCTATTCATTTCTCCATTGCAGACATCACTAAGTTATTCAGGGAAATTATAAACCAAACAGACTAAGGAGGTGTACCACTCATCTCGATGTGATAACAAACATCATTAACCAAGAACAACGAACTGAAATTTTCAGATCTTTGCGAGAAGGTAAACTACTAGAACTTTAATTTAATTTATTGGTGAAAATTTCCATTGTAATTAAGGTTTAAACATATATTTTAAATAACAGTGCGTGTGTAAATGCCCCCAGTACATTCAGCAATTATAAGATCACTTTTCTTACAGATCTTAGCCCAGTTTATGTATACACAACAGAATTGATAGAGAAAACATCCTAATCTCACTTGCAACAGCTACACTACTGATATAATTTTATCATAAGCCACTGATCAAATTTCTTAGAACTTAGTTACAACCCATACTGGTTCTACAAACTTTTATTAAATTTCATTTCATTTATTTATTTTTTAATCTGGCTAACTCCTACACACACCAATTCCATTTCTCTCACATCTTGTAAGGATACGGGAAAAACTTGGTATTGTTAACTTTTCTAATGTGTAATTAAATGGTTAGTCAAATACTGTACTCCACAATGATGTACCTGTATAAAAAGTTTTATAAATTTTCTAAGATTAAAATTTCCCATTTTCTTTTCAAGAAAATTTAGTTAAAAAAGATGAGAAATTTAACAAAATAAAAATGAAAATTTTCAATAAAAGAAAACGTGGATTTTTTATTTTATTATTTTTTACGGGAATTAGCCCACCCGGGCACTGGTCAAACAACCAACGGGGCCTGGTGGGCGAGAAAAAAAGAACAAAGAAATTAGACATATTAATCAAAGAAAATGGGAAATTTATTCACAGAAAATGAGAAGTTTAAATCAAAGAAAATAGGAAATTTAATTAAATAAAATGGCAAATTTTGATAAATGCAAACCGGAAATAATTTTAATCAGGAATGAGAAGAACATTCCTTTTACAGTATGTTAATAAAATTGTACATTCTGTTGCAAAATGTTCATAATAGAATAGAATAAACACGTAAAGAATAATACTCATCATCTTATCCTTATAATCACAGATTTATTGCACCATATTTGAAAGCCACAGAAATCTCTCATGGACAGGGGAATGCATACAAAATGCTGTGATGATTATTGAATTACAGTATTGATTCTAACAGCTTTATGAAAGGTGTCATCAAAATGAAAAGGATATCAAGGAAACTGAGAAAAACAGCTGTTATTATTGAAGGCAGGCACTTCCTTGAAAATGAGAAATCAATGCTATAACAAACTTATAATCAGCATTAGTTCTGTCTATTAATGTTCCCTCTAATAAAATCTCTCAAAATATTCAAATATAATACAATTATCACAATATACATTAATCCTTCTGTTATAGTACATGAGCAAAATAGACATTTTCATTATAACAAGGGCATTATTACAAAGCAGAACCTTATTCCCTTAACCTTTTACCTAATTCTCTTAAATATGTCTGTAGGGGAGCTAATCTCCTACAGCAGGCATGGGCAACCTGCAGCCTCGACCATGTGTTTGTGTGGCCCGTGGAATGATCGAGAAATTCTATTTAATGTGGCCGCGGTTCAGGTAAATACAGCCAGTTTACGGTGAGTAAAGCAATATTTATTAAAAGAATAATCTTCACACAAAATTCGTTACTGTTTGATCACCTAAGAGTAAGCAACTAAGAAAATGTAACGGTGAAATAATTATATACTGTATACGGTAGTCAACAATGTAAACATTTTAAATTGTGTGATCTTATGGGCCAAGTTTAGCGCAGTCTGTTTGATGGATTACCTGCTATGTGGCAGAATGGTCACTAGGGAATTAACTAAGATTGGGCAAGTCCAAGTAGGATCATGGCCAGTAGTTACACAGGGTTTAACTAATTAAGTACTTCCAGAATAACACAAAAACACCTAAATTGCACCTCAAAACCCATAGTTGGTGAGTAATTAACACTGAAATAATGTAATTATAATATTCCAAGCATTATTACGACCACTAATTATCCTGCAATTGAATCATGGACCATAGATTCTCAATGTGCACACTCAGGAGTACCTATACTGAGATTTTCAACAAAATCTAATATTTGGCCAAAACTGCCAAAATATATAGGTTGTTTCATTGTAGTTCCTCATATGCCAAGAATAACATTGGCATTATCATTATTCTGGTGGGTGTGTCTCATAAGAACGACAAATGCTGTTTCACTGATCGTCTCTTAAATGTCAAGAAACATGAACATATTACTTAAAAAATTATTATGATGGGTTCGTTTCATAAATGGGAAAAAGACTGTGATTGTAAACCAAAATAATGTAAGGTGGACGTGACGATAAACTGTTTCACTGTCCGTGCTAAAACAATATTAACATTACATTTGGGTTAGGTAGGATATAAATTTTGGTGGGTTGGCCCGCAGAAAAATACTTAAATTGTAATGCGGCCAAAGACTGAGGAAAGGTTGGCCATGCCTGTCCTACAGGAACAACAGAAGAGACAGAGCGAGAAAATAAAAAAAAAAAAATAAGCAAAATAACTAACTTAATACCTCCACTGTTTCATGACACCATCAGCAAGGGCAAAGTCATTGAATGACTCATTACAATACCCTGAGAGTTGTGAAGGTACACAGTATATGTATTGTATAACACCAACAGTTTAACCGCCTGGGTTCTTACATGGTAGATAAATGAACTTTCTTCCATACAACAAAGAACTTGTCATGAAAAGTGAGAATTTTCAACCGTGTGATGTAGACAGAATCGAGATTTTTCAATGAGTAAGCACTTAAAAACAAAATACTGTTATTCAATTGATAACCTATACCACAAAGAACAATTAATATACTTTTTCATGGTTGGCAGAAAAAAATAAGGAACAAAAGCAAGTGGGTATAGTGCACAGCAATACTAAGGAACTAAGACAATCCTTTACTTGATTGGACAGAGCACTAATGAACTGCTGTGCAGAGTCCTATCAACACTATCAACAATAAAAAATATACCTGTATACACGTATAAGGTATATAGAAGAGCTATAACAATGTTGAAAGAACAGTGGAAACCTATACTGTACTGTAGTTTTTACTTTTTGCTTACAGGGTTACAGGAATTAATTTCTTTAGAAGGTTCAGTGCAATATACTTCCAATACTGTATAAGGGTATTTGTTGAATAAAATGTTCAAGATTTTTCTTTCCTACACCAAATATACAATTCCTAAGCATAAAGAAATATTAGTTGATTATGGATATTTAGAGGATTATCATCTCTCTACAAAACTGAAACCAGGTTTTTAACCTGTCAACTGCTGTGTTCGGTAAACATTGCATGCTGAACACTAGTACTAATCATTCAATCAATTCATCTGAAACAATACAAAGTCTAAAATGGCACATTTCAGCAACATCAACAACTAAGAACAGACACATGGATAGCACTTGGGTAACAGTTTGGCAGGAGATATACATTTCTCTGTTAAGTTATACCATCTTGAGCCAAAGTCTTCAGCGTGCTGAGAAAATTTCTTCTTCTTCCGACTCTGAAGCTTGAACATTGATTGACTGATAACACTGCTTCTTCAGGTCATTGGCATGTGACCGGACCTGTAATAATAATCAAATAGCTTGTAGGATATAAAGTCCCACATTTTCTGGAAATAAATTTATTGAATAAAGAATACACCTTGCCAGTCCTCACTTAATATCGATGTTCCATTTCTGAAAACTGTATTATTAATCAAAATGACAATACTGTAATCAAAACTGAAAATCCCATTCATTAACCCTAACACCATAAATAGGGGTAACATGCAAGGTATGCTTTTCGGTCAATTTTTTCTCATCTATTTGTTAGTTAAAGAAAAAAAATACATTTAATCAATTAATACAGATTCAATCATTAATCTTTCTTTGTGAGGGTTAAATCCAAATAAATAGGGACTAATAATGTACAGAAATAACTAATAGCATCAAAATTAAAAGGTACTAATACTGTAGCAGGGAAAATTTTTGTCACGAGAAACGGTGTACAGTAATGTAATAAGGGGGTTATGTTCCTTTGGTATGAATACAGGGACTATTAAGTGTGGTACTTTATGTAGAATGGGAAACTGTGTGTGTGTGTGTGTCTAAATCGAACAAAGCATCCCAGTTACCAATACCGTATGTAGTGTATAAATTTATATATACAGCATCTTAAGAACAAATGGGGTTGCATTGAAAATAGTGCAATAATTCATGAAATATATTACCAGTAACAGTTTTCTAATAAAACAAATTTGGAGGAAATATTAGTGTGTACTTAATAAAAGTTCTGTGCAGTTATATAATACAGGGAGTCCCCGGTTACGAACAGGTTCCGTTCACGAGTATGTTCCTTAGTTGGATTTCTACGCAAGACGGAACACATGCTTTGTGCATACCATACTAACAGAACAATGTTTAAAATCCTAATATATATCATAGCCTAAGTTCGTATATATATCTAAAATCACTTAATTTATGACAAAAGAAGAAATAGAATGGCAAAATACAGTAAATGAAAGAAAAAAATAAGTCATCAGGTAAATAAAATACTGTAAATTTCAAGTTTAACCCCGTTCCTAAGTTGGGGAGCCCCTGTACATTTTATGGAGAACAAACCACCCCAGTTACATATTTACTGCACATGCTTCGATGCTTTTGATAATTTGCTTGGAATTCCTATAGGCTTTATGTAAACTCTTATTTACAGTATATAGTAGTGTATGGAAACAAAAGCACCACACAGTTTCAGCATTGTACCAATCAGTTTTTAATATTAAGCTATTTATTGCATAAAACAGAAGCTCTCAGTGTCCATACTTTGTTGTAGCTAAGTATTATTTATTTTGGTATTCCAAAATGATTGTGTTCTAATGAAGTGAAACTTATTTGGGATACCGTATGTGTAATTTAGGGATTATAAACTTCACATTTAATAGTAGCATCCTGTAACATTAATTCTTTCACTTGCCTTCATTTATTCACTCTTAATGCTGTGACATCCTCATAAAAAACATGATGCCATGTTCTCCCGTCAATCACGTTCTTTGCTGCTGCAAAAGCATTGACAAAGGAAGACAATAATTTAGAGAGAACTGACCTCTTGGTGTGTCACCCGACGAATAAGGAAAGGGCGGAGATAGAGAATGTCAAGGCGGAGGAATCCTCTAGCTTGAGCACCTACTGGAGTATCACTTTCATCCTCTGTAAACTCTGATAAATGTTCTGAATCTAAAGCTTGGCCCTGAAAAATAAAGCATAATTTTATTTTTTGTAATAAATCATGAAATAGATACTGTATAGTACATATTTATGATATACATAAAATTTCCAGACATCTCAAAGAAAAAAAAATATTCTCTAAAGCTGGAAATTACAAAAATTTCAAAGTAAATTAAAAACCAAAAATGCAACCTACATACTTACCCATTCTCTAGTTTTGCTCAATGTCATTTCTTTGTCACGTTCCTTGGGTCTTCTGTTTTTCTGTCGTTTGTCAGCCTTTAAGTACTGAAAGAGAAGATGGTACATAAGATATGAAATTATTAATAAAAGAATGATAGTACAGTATAATCAGGTTTAAATTATGAAGGAATAGTTTTGATAGCTCTCGAGAATACTCTTGTTATTGAAGCAAAAAACAGATAACAGGCAAATATTTCTCCCTGTATCCATCTTTCTCTCACAGACAGTTTTCTTTCTTTAGTAACATGACCACAATCTATTACACATACCCGGTACTTAAATCCTCTATTTTTTCTGACAAACATGAGTATTTCCTATTTCCTTTTTCTTTTACTACCTTCGTTACTGTTTCTCGACTGGCTGTTAGCAAAAGTTTCCACCAACTCTCTGCCATGTACAAAATTGGATTATGGCATCAGAAAATGACAGACAATTCAATACATAAACAACTAAATAAAGAATCATATTCATTGAAAACCTCAAAATGTGAGTAAATAAAGATCAGCAGGTGAATAACTCCAGATGTAAAGGGGAACATTATAACAGTACAGTAAATGATTTATCCAAGTGAATAAAAAAGGTTTTACTCAAAATACAGAAGGGGAATCTCAGTAGGTGAGTTACTAAAGATACCTTAACCAGTGAGTTACTAAAAGATACATAAGGAATCCTCAACATACAAGTTCGTGAAGCTACAGTATAGAGGAACCTTAGCACATGAATTTCTGAAGATACAAAGCAAGTGAGATGTGCACCAAGAAAGCTTAAGAATATTATGGTGCTCGTTTTGGATGGTATCACTGATGAGAAGTTAAAAGCAGGAGATGAAGTTTTAGAAGGGAAAACAACTATCATGCAAACAATAGAAAGCACACCAGAGGACTAACAAAGTACTGTATGTACAGTATAGTTCCTCTGCATAAAGAAATGTTGATAAGAAGGACTGAAAGAAGTCTAGAGAATTCACTAATTAATGACAAAAATGTTTGATACAAAGTTAAGTTGTATCACTGGAATTCTGTGTACTGTATTTAAAAAAAAAAATAAATAAAAAATCAACTGCTTACAAAAAGATACATTATGTTTGACAAACCTTAATAAGTGGCATGGTAGAACCTCCCAGACAAAATATGGTGAATAAGACAATAGTGAGTGTTGTTGTCACAATCACATGTCGCTTTTCATCACTGAACTCAAGATGAAGGGCTAAAGCATAAGCAATAGCACCTCGAAGTCCTGGAAAAGAAAGGTCCCAAGTTAACTTAACTTTTCATGGGAAATTCAAGTTTAAGGAACTAGAAAATCTGGGAATTAAATGCTGCATACAACAGATAGTACACTGTAATACTATAAATTTCGTTTCTGACTGGGAAAATCAATGTTGAATATCTTGTTATTGGAAGAAATATGAAGGAATGACCTTGAAATCCCTAACCTAACCAAGCTTGTATAGAACAACTCTTAAATATATACCTGTAAGAAGGCCGAGGGCTTCGGAACACAGGTAAGCCCCTAACTTATGGCAGCCAGTACTATAAAGGTCAGCCACCTCACTCATGACTCTTACCATTAAAAAGGGATATACAGAAATTACAAAGTTGCCTGAAAGCTGGGAGTTAACAAGTCTTGGTCCTCAGACAGTGCTCGCACAACTTGTACTTCGTGCGCTACCCAATACAGTATTTACAAAGCAAGATACAGAATTATCGCGACAACCTACCAACATCTATGGAAGAGGGTAGGCACCGAGTTGTTTTATCCAGCCTTGGTTATAAATGGAGGATAGATCCAGAAATGCTGCTTTAAAAGTGGGGTTTTAGCAACACCGTAAAGCCAGCATAACTTGGGGAAAACAGTAGAACCCAGTGTCCTAGCTGGGGACTAAAATCTATATACTGCAAAGAATAAATTAACAAATTAGGTTTTCCTTCCTCTAGACACTGGGCTGTCAAATAGATAGCCACTAGGTAAACCCAGCACAATCTCACTTCACTTGTGTGAATAAAAGTCAAGTAATCTTGAAAGACTTCACAAACTAGAATCCCCCAAGCCTGAATCAAGTTCAAACCTTCTCAATCTAGGAGGTTAACCAACATATCTAAATAAAACTAACTGCATGAGTTAAGAAATAGTCCAAAACAATAATTCATATAAAATTTAATTCATTTGAAGTGAAATCCTTTTATATTACATGTAACACCTCCCTCACAAGAATCCCCCCCCCCCCCATCACCACAGTAGGCTATATGTCTATTAGTTTGAAGTAGGGTCTTGGTGAGCCCTCAGATTAAATGCAGGCTGATGCAAAAACTACTATGCTTATCAAAAGCTACAAAACAAAATGCCTAAAAGGTCATAAATGTACCAGCCCTACAAAACAGAAACAACCACAGCTGCACAACACTAAAATGCAAGTGATGTAACCCAATCACTTTTTGTGCCAATAAGAGAAAAGTTCACAAACAGAAATTAACCCTGGAAATCCTACGAGGTGTCTCATATAAGCTAAACAATTGCCAAGGAGAATTATGTTGGTGACGTAACCCAGATTTAGGGAGGCAATAGGACTCATGTGCAACTCCCACTGTTCTCCGTGAAATATTAAACTTAACACTAAAACACATAATAATCACCCAAAACTTTAAAACTTACCACTAAACCACATAATAAACATCATTTTGTAGTTGATCTGATGGTCACGGAACTTATTAACAAGCCAAGAGAGTGGGAAAATGTTGAAAGCACGACCCAAGAGGCACAGCACAATGCTCCATAAAACAAGGGCCAAGTGGAACTGTAAAGATGAAAAGCGAGTTTGAAAAATAATCTTGTCATTTCAGCAGAACTTTTATCTCAATTTCTATGTACAGGTGCTCCTCTACTTAAGAATGTTCAACTTACAAAGTTTCAGAGATACAAACATCATCACTGAGGGGGGTTACCTGCCAGAACAGGTGTTTAATGTGGATGAGACTGGATTATTTTGAAGAAAATTCCAGATAGAACAAACATTACCTAAGAGGAGAAGAGTGAGCCAGGTTTTAAGGCTGTATTAAAGGGTATAGCTGTACTAAATATCCATAATCCTTTAATTTTTTACAATATGTTTGGTATCTACAAGAGTAAAAATGGACTTACAAACAAGCCTCAGGAACGTATCTCGTTCGTAAGTAGAGGAGCACCTATACTGTACACTGCATATGTAAAGAAGCAAATCAGTTAAAACATAAAAAAAAGTAAATAAATAATGTACAGGTAGCGTACTGCAGATCACTAACTAGAACTTGCATTGTTCAAAGGGGCAATCTTCATGCCTTTGATGTTTTTATTATAAAGTCATTACTGCACTTCAACTTCTGAGGATTGTAAGTGTGTAACTAAGTTAATAATTACATCAGTCCATTAACAGTTTAAAATTACAAGAGACAGAACTTTTTTTCTCTGCATTACTGAGGTAGGCACACTGTCCATTCTGATCAGTACAAAGCTGTACAAAAAATTAAATGCCGAGATGAACCAAGGAACTGTAGTCATACAAAAGTTAGTTTATACTTTCCTATAATACCTAGGTCTCATAAAAAGGGATCTGATGGACAGAAAAGTTATCCATGAAGGCTATGGGCTGTGAGCTTATACTGTCACTGATGTGCACTGTGATCCTCATCAGCCTAGGGGTCATTTTGGGAGGTACTTATTATTTTTAATTATTTTGTTAAGCTTTGACACAATCAAGTGCATTTATTTTTCATATTTCAATAAAGAAATGTGCAGTATAGTATATTTTTACAATAAACTACTGTACAGTATTTAGTTTATTTTCCTGGTTTTCTGTTTACTACTGAAATGTTTGTACTATACTGTACAGAAGGCATGGGCAACCCGCAGTGGCCCAGACCATGTGTTTGTGTGGCCCATGGAGTGATTGAGAAATTATATTTAATGTGGCCCACGGTTCAGGTAGATGCAGCCAGTTTACAGTGAGTAAAGCAATATTTATTAAAAGAATAATCTTCACACACAATTAGTTACTGTTTCATCACCTTAGAGTATGTAACTACAAAAATATAACAGTGAAATAAGTCGACAATATAGACATTTTAACTTGTGTGATCTTACGGCCCAAGTTCGGCGCAGTCTGTTTGATGGATTAGCTGCTATGTGGTATTGGGTCATTTGGGGATTAACTAAGGTTGGGTAAGTCCAAGTGGGGTAGTGGGCAGTGGTCACAAAGGGTTTTACTAATTAAACACTTCCAGAATAACACAAAAACACCTAAATTGCACATCAGAAACCAGTAGATGATGAGTAATTAGCACTGAAATAATGTAATAAAAATTTTCCAAGCATCATTATGACCACTAATTACTCCGCAATTGAACCGTGGACCATAGATTCGGAATCAGCGTGCTCAGGAGTACCACTACAGAGATTTCAAATGAAATCTAATTTAGGGTCGAAACTGCCAATATACAATAATATCTCTGTGCTGGAATTGAAATTTTCTCGGAAAATTGTTCCCAAAGCAGGAATTTTCCGGAAAATTCTTGCTTTGGAAACGATTTTCCAAGAGGCACATTCTGGAAAATTCTGGGGATGGGGCGAGTTTTTTCCCCGAGTTTGAGGGATGAAAATTAGGTGCTTTTTCATTAAATTCCGAGAAAAATTTTCCAGTACCAGGAAAATTCTGGGGATGTGGGATTTCTTTCCGGCTTCGAGAGAGTCGTCACGTTACCTGGAAATCTCTCATTCCCGGAAGTGCTCTGCACCAATTGTTCCTCATAGGCCAAGATTAACATTATCATTCTGGAGGGTGTCTTGTAAGTAAGAAAAATGCTGTAAATGTAGGAAAATCAACCTATTCACAGACTGCTTCACTCATCTTCTGTTAAATGCCAAGAAACATTAACATATTACTTGAAAAAAATTATAAGAAAAAAAATGTGATTGTAAACTGAAAATATCGTAAGGTGGATGAGACGATAAACGGTTTCACTGCCTGTCCTGTATTATTTTTACATTACTTTTGGGTTAGGTAGGATATAAATTTTGGTGGGTTGGCCCGCAGAAAAATACCTGAATTGTAATGTGGTCCAAGACTGAGGAAAGGTTGGCCATGCCTGCTGTACAATATGATCGTGCCTTCAAGGGACACCACACCCACCAATTTCTTTGTTTTACCCTCCAAATGATAGTAATGACAAGTTAAAATAAAAAAAAATTGAGGTCAAATTAACTTCTAAAATAATAATGATATAAAATCCTTAAACTACCTGTACTGTACAGTAGTTGTATTATGCTGTATTAAGATGTTAAGACAAAGAGATGCATGAGTTTGTATGGGAAGGGGAGGAGAGCAAGGGGTATGCCAAGAATGACATGGGAAAGGTTGCAAGAAATTACCCCAGATATAAGAACCTAATGAGACCATGTAGCATGGAGAGCTGCCACCAACATGGAAAATGACCATACAATGGTGATAATGATGATGCCATTCTCATATGTGTCATTAAACCCACTTTTTTTAACACTGTTTTGAAGCCGTTGTACTGGTTTTGGCCTCAGAATGAGCCTACATACAGTATGGTATATAAAATATAGTACACATCTGTAGTGCCTTTCAGTATACAGTGGTCCCTCGGTTAACGAATGGTTCGATTAACAAAATTTTGGTTAACGAATTACCTCCCATAAGGCTCTTCAATTCGGTTAACGAACAAAACTTCGATTAACGAAATCCTTTCGACAAACACGTTTTGTTGTGAGCATCAGCTGATGGACTAGTCTGCCAATTCAGTAATCTGTTCTATGTTTACATTCGTTTCCATTGGAGTAAATATCAAGAAAGTTGTGCTCTTTAATATTTGTGCATTTTTATATTAAAATTATTAGTCATTTTAAAATTTAGTTAACATATTGATAATATATGCAGTACAGGGAACTAGTTTTTTGTGTGCCCATCAGCTGCTTGACTCACCCACCAGGTGTCAGTGTGGCTTTGTTTACAGTGGAGTGAACATCGTTTTTGTTGGTGTCGTGAATAGTTTTGCATTTTTACATTAAAATTATTGGTCATTCTGAAATTTAGTTAGCATATTGATAATATATAGCGCACTGCAGTGTTGATTTAAATAAAATAATCTTGAATTACGCCTAGTGAACTTAAAATTTTATTGGTGAAATTACTGCATTAAGCATGGGTCCCCTGAAAGGTGATTTCTCCTCCATCCCCACTTCCTTCTCTTCTCCTTTCTCCTCCACCCCCACTTCTAAATCCCATCATTATCATCAAACAGGAACCTTCTACATACACACCTCAAAGTAAGTGTACTTTACTGCATTTTTTTACTTTGTATGTACTTTTCTGTGAGCTGGAACCAATTACCCAATATCCCATTGAAACAATGGATTCAGTTAACGAACGACTCTGTGGAACGAGTTGTTTTCGTTAACCGAGGGACCATTGTATTTAAATCTTTAAAAAACTTACCTGATGCCTAAAACTGAATAGACCTAATCCCAAGTAGATAAACACTGTACACTCGGCAATGAGGGCCAATGTGCGCATGAGGTGCTGCATTGTTATCTGCATCACTGGAGACATGTTGAAATGTGTGTAGTGTGACATCACAATTCCATTGAAGAGAATTGCCATGATACCTGGAATAAAGAAATACAGGAGTGTACTTAAATATAAAGTAAGTGAAAAGAACTTACACAGTATAATCTTCTGTGACCTATAAGGGATAAGGCCTTTACAGAGATTGTGTGCTACCACTCATGATATTAGGAATGCACTGACCTATTCTTTTACAGTTCACCTCATGTTTTAAGGTCATCCTTCCAGCTGATTCTCATAAAACAGAGACCAGACTGCTTATATAGGGAACATTGGGCATGTAGACCTCGGATCATTATTTCATAAACAAATTGATCAACAGCCACCGCATGATAGCTGTTTTATTATGAAGTGCTTTCATCTTAATTATACTTCATCCCTTGTCATTATTCACCCTTTTAGTTATAGCCAGGTTCTAAATCAATATTGTCACTTCACACAACCAAGTAACACCCAGCAACAGTTCCTTCCCCAAAAATTACTTTATGCCGTATTCTCTGCTCACTGTTGTGCATTACTGCTTCCTGGGTATACATCTCCCTCACTCCCAGTGCATGTTTCACTCTCCATCCTTTTATCTCCTCCTAGGTCTTTCCCTTTCTGCCCAACCATCTACCTCTGAATTATAGTCTTTTTTACCAATCTTGCTTTTCTTATTCTCTTATTCTCTTATTATTCTAATCCACCGATGCAAAAACATAAATTTCTAACACCTCCAATTCTTACAGTAGTACAGTACCACCTGCACTCATTCTCCACAATTGTCAAATGTTTGAGGACATGATTTCCAGCAATTGCAAGTGTTTTGGGCTATTTTCTCAGTACTGTGTACCGTTAAGTGTTGATTATTTCGTACTTGTTTTATTCATTCCAACATAAAAATTAGTCAGAAGACAACTTATTAAAAGTTAAATAATGTTCAGAGGAACAATGTCAAAATATCAACCACTCTGCCACCTCTGAGGCAGTTATACTTCAATTAGTAGCTAAAGGTGAAGCCCCTATAGATGCATCACTCTAACAACCAAGTGAATCAATCTAAAGTGGAAGGCAACAAGGGATTAATGGTGGTGGAGCGAGTTGGAACTAGAAGCTATGCAAATTAAAATTTTTCCAGGAGGCAAAATTAGCATGTGTTAATGGTAAGAAAACAGATAAAATTTGTGTGAGAAAATTATGGAATGTATCTCTACCACAGTACTACTGTGTCAAAATTACTATTTCATGTTATTGTGGTAGTTTTGGTAAGGTAAAGTGGTGATCACACTAGCCATTGAAACTGCTGGGTCCAACAATAGCACTGTTTTTTTGCCCAGTTGTCCACTGGTATTCATGGATTTGGGAGGTTTGGCCGAAAACATCTTCACTGGATATGTTTCTAGTAGATGATTGATATGTAATGAGAATCTGTAGTATCCTCCCCTATTAAAATCACACATTTTCTTGTATCATAATAAGAAAATAACAATAAATTTATGCCAAAATAAATTTTGAAATTAAAATCTATAATCTATGGTTAAATATTGATCAAGAATTTATCATCCAACACTCGCTTGACCTCCGAAGGTAACAATACATCCAGAAGCCTGTGCTAGAAGCATTGCATCATGGAGCAACAAGAGGCACTACTTGGTCAATATGAGCAAGTTACATTTAATCTCAGAAGGCCTTCACTTTATTGCAGTGGTTTTTTGGGGATCCGCAAACAGTGGACTGGGCAGGCCGTTATTTTTGCAATGTGACCAGTCTGATCTCTGATGGGAGGGCGGCCTCAGCCTAGTCCGGGGATATCAATGGCTAGTGTGACCATAGCTTTGGGCTATATACTGTATGGGTAAATATCATAAAAACAAATCATAATCATTATACTCATTCAAGTATGCCACCAGTGTTAGAAAAGTTATTACCTGATAAGTGTATGCCTTCTGCAAGTGTATATGGAGCATATATGAAGATTATGATGATGCACAGTTCTAGGGAAGTGTACTCTCTCAGAGGAACATACTTCAGGGTTAGAGCACTCAAGAGAGCAAATGCAACCCCAATACCAGCAGAGGCAAAGAACATGACACAGAATCGCCATACTGTATATAACACTGCTTCTCCAGAACCCATGGTTGCCATAGCTGGTGATGCCATTTCAATGATTGTACTGAAACAGAGAAATCATACATACTGTATATATATTCTACATACTATGTAAATAAATTTACTAAAACCATGATACCGGGTAGGTATTTTCAAGAAAATATTAGTGTACGTATCTTAAATGATTTCCTAACTATGACATGCTCTTTCCTATAGTGTGATAGAGCGCTTGGGAACTTCGTGTTTTCTTCTTTCCTTGTGGTTATCAGCATATACCTAGATCACGCGCACCTACAGTGATTTACTTGCACATATATATATATATATATATATATATATATATATATATATATATATATATATATATATATATATATATATATATATATATATATATATATATATATATATATATATATATATATATATATATATACATAAAATACCCTCACATATATACTACTTCATTCTATCCTCCCATTTTATAATTCAGATTCCCTCCACTAATATACCTACCTCCTCCAAGCCATTACATAACTTCCCGTCACAAATAACTCTACAAAAATGGTAGATATTTCCCTTTATCTCTCTATTTCCCTCATGGCACACTAATCTCTTTTCTAATTCCATATCTAACTCTCCATAAGCTATTAAAGCTTCTGCACTACCATCTATCCTCCAATTATTGCCGTGTGCATTAAATTCACACTTTACACTAGGAGGCATCCATCTATACCAGGGGTCACCAAACTTTTTTCACAGTGGGCCGGATAACTGAAAGAATGACGAGCGCGGGCCGCATATTCATTCTGTTCAATACTTGCAAGCCAGAACAAAAGCCATGGAAACCATGGTAACGTCAGAGCGTAGGCGGAGCTACCACGGCGGGCCTGATGAACTGACGTCGCGGGCCAGATCCGGCCCGCGGGCCGTAGTTTGGTGACCCCTGATCTATACCATTATTTATAAAAAAAAAAAAAAAAAGGCATTTGATTCGTTATCATTACTCTCTAGTAAATATCTCTTATGGAAAAATTCATACTGAAATATACAAAGTCAATAACATACAGTACTGTACATGTTGAAAATACAGTACTGTAATGGTAAATGTCATGCAAATTTCGTTGATTTACCAGTACAGAACACACTACAATGATTCACCTGGTAAGGACAATTGAGACAGCATCGTTGAGGATACTTTCACCAAACACAAGCATGTACAACACCTGGTCCACATTCAGTGCATGGAAGATAGCTAATGTAGCCACAGGATCCACAGCAGATATTAGAGAACCAAAGGCAAAGCTTTCCACAAAACTCAGTTCGTACACCACATCAGCCTGAAAAAACATGGCATGAGATCTTTCAATAATTATTTAGGGAAGATAGTAAGAGATATGAAGATATACAGTGACTCCCAAATCATGTAATGAAATACCTCATGAAAAGTACAAATAATTAATGTATTAGCTCTTTCCTGGGTAGCTGAACTACAGTACAGTATAAGAATGTATCCTCCAGTTTTTAGGCATTGGCTGAATAGGATGTTCTACTTCTTCAGCTATATTTGATTACTTCAGTAGTAAATATACGACGAGTCATTTCATATTTAGACACGGGTCAATATAGTACAGTACTGTATTGTGTATTGCCCAGCCAGGAATAAGTTAAAAGCAGAATACACTGTTTGTATTCCATTTTAACCCACAATAGATATATTAATGTGCAGATTACAGTATTATATATAAACTTTCTTTTTACAGAAAATATCAAATCCTCTTTCTTATTTAATTTCCAGCCAACACTTCGTATCACTTGGATCTAGGGCTGGCCACAAAATGTACAGTGACATTCAGTACACGAATGGTAAAAAAATATATCGGGTAACTGCATTTATATTGCTTATGATACTTTTTAATGCAAATCATAACTTTGTGAAAGATGACAGATTTACTGTTTAAACATGAAAACATGTAATTACTGTACCAATTTATCCTGCACATTATGTACAATCAGATATGTATTTAAGATAAGACTAATTATCAACTAGATCACCAAAAGGAAATTTATTAACATTTTCTTACCTGTCCAAGGAGATAAACTCCTCCTCCAACAATCAGTGCAGAGATTAATGTGCCAACAACAGCAAATACAATAATGGATCCAATGTTTTGAAAGAAGTTGCCCTGAGTAAGAGAAAGTACAATACAATATAATTTTTTTACCTGTACTAGTTAGAATAACAAAATGAAAAAAAAAAAAACATTTACAAAGAGAAGATTTATTTGTCTACAAGAATGTATCCTTACAGCCAATAAAGAAAAAGGAAATTACTTTTGATTTTTGTAAATTGAAATCATAATCCTGGAACTATACATGCTAAAACTGTCAACATATACAGTACTTATAAAAAGAGAGAATAATAATCTGTCCGATGATTTTAGTTTCTGACCACTCACCACTCTCCTAACACCAGCCTCTCCATACAGAAAATGACAAAATGCATTAGAGATTAAAGTATGCTTAATTAAAATGCTCATTCTATAAAATATACAGTATTCAGTCAATATATTGGTATTAGCATATGCATGAAAACTCATTACAGTGCATAATCACTGCCAAAACAGGGACTTTAGTTGTGGCTGGGAATATAGCCCCACTTTTACCATGGAAACCTTTATTTTAGGAGCATAAACCCAAGTATAAATGATGTCAACCAGTACCCCTAAAGGAAAATCAAATTGTAAACGAAGTCCGAGATACCAACCTTGTGAAGATTGTAGCCAGACTCAAATATAATGGGTGGAAGGATGACGAGAAAGAACACAGTGGGTGAGAAAGTTTCCTCCTTCTGTTACATGAGAATAATATAAAGTTAGCAAAGATGACCAATATATTCAGAAATATTACAAACATATCAAAGATTTTATTAGATCAAAGAATGTATTACAATAAAATATACTTAAGGCATCATCTTAACCACAACAGATTTACAAATATAAAAGTACAGTAATAGGAAAGCTAATGGAAAGATTACTGTACTGATCCCTCTGAACTAGACTGTTGGTGAAGGTGATGTATATACAGTAATAGGTTGTCCCTGCCAAAATTTCTACCTATACATCAAGACCAAGTTCCATAGTTCTTGAAGAACAGAAACTTATTTAACACTACGTACACGAGCCACCGTTTTTTGGGCAAGGACATAAGTAGGTGGTAGGTAGATATGCAGCTACCAAACAGGGAGGTACTACCACCTGGGAAGATATTGGAAGCATAATGTGTTGTCTAATGGTAGACCCTGCTGCCAAAGGTCATCACAAAAATTGTGACCAAGTCCCAGGTTGCTCATCTGACTTTCTGCCTCATTTACACACAATTGCTGGGTCTCAATTGTTTCTATTAACACTGACAACACAACATACATATATATTGTTTCTCACTCTTGATCTCCACTACTTATCTACTGATTACACGCAGACCAGTGATGGGCTAATCCTCGTACAGTATAGTAAATCGAGCATTTGATAACTCGGCATATAACTTGGCATGGATATGGTCTCGAAATGTATTAGTATGCCGAGTTATCTAATAATGCTCATCACCTACCATATAAATGTCACCTATTACTCTATTAGCATATCTATGCCTTTACTGTACCTAGTGCATATATCACTGCTATACAGGGACCTAGGTGTGCTGTGTATAGCCCCACTTTTACCATGGAAACCTTTATTATATAGTGCGTCCAAGCAATCCCCAGACCTGGGTGGAAACGTGTCCTCGATAATGGGAAATTTAGCCAGACTCAAATATAATGGGTGGAAGGATGACGAGAAAGAACACAGTGGGCGAGAAAGTTTCCTCCTTCTGTTACATGAGAATAATATAAAGTTAGCAAAGATGACCAATATATTCAGAAATATTACAAACATATCAAAGATTTTATTAGATCAAAGAATGTATTACAATAAAATATACTTAAGGCATCATCTTAACCACAACAGATTTACAAATATAAAAGTACAGTAATAGGAAAGCTAATGGAAAGATTACTGTACTGATCCCTCTGAACTAGACTGTTGGTGAAGGTGATGTATATACAGTAATAGGTTGTCCCTGCCAAAATTTCTACCTATACATCAAGACCAAGTTCCATAGTTCTTGAAGAACAGAAACTTATTTAACACTACGTACACGAGCCACCGTTTTTTGGGCAAGGACATAAGTAGGTGGTAGGTAGATATGCAGCTACCAAACAGGGAGGTACTACCACCTGGGAAGATATTGGAAGCATAATGTGTTGTCTAATGGTAGACCCTGCTGCCAAAGGTCATCACAAAAATTGTGACCAAGTCCCAGGTTGCTCATCTGACTTTCTGCCTCATTTACACACAATTGCTGGGTCTCAATTGTTTCTATTAACACTGACAACACAACATACATATATATTGTTTCTCACTCTTGATCTTTTGTATTTTATTTCTTTATGGTTCTTTATTATTATTACTATTATTATTATTATTATTATTTTATTTTTATTTTTTATTTTACTTATCTGAATTATTATTATAATTATTGTATTATTACTATTATTATTATTATTATTATTATTATGATTACATTTTCGCCCCGCAGGCCCCGACGTGGGTCAGTGACCTGTGCCTGGGTGGGCTAATCCTCGTAAAAAACAAAACAAAAAAAGTATAGTAAACCCTCGATAACTCAGCATTTGATAACTCGGAATTTCATATAACTTGGCATGGATATGGTCTCGAAATGTATTAGCATAACTTGGGAAATGCCGAGATATTTATAAAATTATCTGGGAAAATCTCGGCATATCTGGCCACCTGCATCACCTACCATACTTCCGTGTCACCATGCCTCTGTGTCACCTACCATACCTCTGTGTCTCCTACTATGATGCTTCATTCTTCACCTGCAGTGCTGGTAAGTGTTACTTTTTTACATTTAGTAATTATATGTATACATATATGGGTAGATAATTTTTTATTGTTGTATTTTTGTAGGAGGGGGAAAGTGCCTTGACAAGTCGGAATTTGGGATAATCTGGCAAGGCCAGACCCCCAAAGGTGCATAGTTATCGAGGGTTTACTGTACGTATTATATATGGGTAAGCTAGTGCTAAGTTTAAACAGCAACAAAATATACCATACCTGCCAGTTTGCTATGTGTTGGCTGTACAGAATCTTCAGGACCAACCCAATCACTCCACCTATAAATAAAATCAATTTCGAAAACATAAACACTACTTATATGATAATTTATTTTTTATTACAGGTGTGTCTAGAATAAATATCTACATACAGTACTGTATTGTTATAAACTATTATCATTATTACTGTTATTGATTAAAATGTGATTAAAACTAAAATTACATTCTCAATTGGCTCAGCCATGTCAATGTTGCTGTTATTATCCACTCTGTAAGTAATTTTCTGGCTAAATACAGTGTAAACTATTTCAATATCAAAAAGAGCCACCCATTCATAACACCAGTATCAAGAAACCAGCGACAATAGAATGACAGGTTCCAACTTTCAGGGAGTTTATATTTAGGATCCTTCCAAACATATTAAAAGTTTTATACAAAATAAGTTTGTCTTACCCACTATAACACATGCTACGCTCTCTGGTAGGTAGTTCAATTTAGTCTTCAGTAGGAAGAATATCAATATCACACACATAGCTGCAAAAACAATATCATAAGTACTGTACAATAATTACCTACAGCAGCAATATATATTCCTCATTATCTTTTTAAGAATCAATTTTTTTTTAACATAACATCATCACTTTAATTTATTATCATCATACGTACTGTACAGTAAAAGAATTTTACCGGTGGTAAATATCTGTAATTTATATTGTTCTTTTGGATGAGGTCTTATATTTCATCCAATAATATAACAGACTCTCCTAGACTTACGACGGGGTTCCGTCCCGACAACCAGTTCGTAAGTCAAAGTGGTCGTAAGTCGAAAAGGAGAAAATAATACATAGAAATTCTAAAATGGGTGTCTCTTTTTCTTCTCAGCACCAAGAGAAGTCTCACTTTTACCCTTGCCAACCATTTTAAAGGGAATTACAAACGAAAATTTTGTCAGTACACAATCACTAACGTCGGGACTCAAAAATTCTTAATGTGAAAAATATTTTATACGACCATGGCCGTCGTAAGTCGAATATGTCGTAAGTCGAGGAGAGACTGTACTTTAAATAAAATACAGTATAAGTTGCAATACTGAGGTGTTACGGCAACCTCGCTTCATCTCTAATACAGTATGTAAAATTTCTATAAGGCAACTCATTTCGTAAGGTGGAGGAAGACATTTCTTATATAACGGCCAAGAAAATAACAGTACGTATTTAACAATCTAAAAGACCTAATGAAACGGGACATTAACATCATTTTGAGAAAAAGGCTGTTGAAAGGGTTTATATGGCAAGGACTGATGTATGGGTAAGAAGTGTGGACACTTTCAGCAGACACCAGAAAGAGGTTGGAGGCCTTTGAAATGTGGTGTTATAGGCAAATGCAAAGAATAAGATACACTGATAGAAAAAAAAAAATTAAGAAATACGGTACTGCACTCAGATTACCCATAGCATACCCGTCAAAAGAAATACTTGAAATGTACAGAGAAAGAAAAATGAGATACAATTACTTTGGTCATATAATTAGGAATGAGGGAATAATAACAGAAATATTAATGGGCAAAGTTGAGAGTAGGAGGGCCATGGGTAGGCAGAAACTGGGATGGATGAGTGAAATTAAAAACTGGGTCCCCAGAGAGTTACAAAACCTTAGAGGATTGGTAAAAACAGCCTAAGAACATTTAGAGGATGGTACTCTAAATGATTGACATAATTGTGTTTGTTCTCCATTAAGGTCTTCTATGTACTGTATTATGGCTAATTTCTCTATTCTAACTCTACTCTACAATATGTGATATACAGGATACATCATATTTGTTACACAGTGCATCACACAATCAGAAATAGCATCCCTACCAAAGGAACACGACCTCAGTCACAATGATCATTTTGAAGGCATCAGACCAGAAAAGAAGATCCTTTGTTTGGTGACTGTACAATGACCACACCAAATGATCACCATTATGTAAAAAAATGACTGTCTTACCCAGCACACAGAGGATGAGAAATATGGAGAGGGATGACAAATGTTCTTGTTCTGCAGCGCCCATCTCTGGTAGGTCAACACTTGTATGACATGGCTGAGTCTCATTTGCAGGATCAGCATCAACACTTCCTCTAAAATAACACATATAACTACATTATACTCATGTGCTAATACTTACTGTTTGAGATGAGCATAACTTAAATATAGTACAGTTATTTCATTAAATAATTTGTCTTCCTTACAAACTAAAACCATGGGAGTTTTATAATGAATGCCATATTCAGTTCTTAGCTGGGATGGGTAGGAAATGTGTATTTTGTTACTTCTATGGTATTTTGTTACTTGCTCAAATCTATTTCCATTCCCCTAATGACTCTCATCTAAAAATTTCCAATAAACTGCAGTGAAGAAATAGAACACACTTTATCATCAACGTTCTACGGACATTTTCCACACAGTGTGTTGCAAAAAACGCAAGTCACCAATATGCATTTAAATTGCTTTGACTTTGGAGGCTCATCTTTATTCATCCCCAAGCCTGATACACTGCTAGGAAGGGAGGGAATTTCATGGCACCATGAGGCCAAGGCCATCATTGCCCTTTTCATGGCTATTTAAAGGAGTAAAGATAGTAATGGCTGCTTGGCCATCATGACATTGCATCCCTGCTACTAGGATGCTTGCCTGGTCAACCAAGGTGTTAGAATATGTAGCACATAAGCCTGAATATCTATAACAACCTCACTGATCCAGCAAAATGAGAAGAAATAAAAGGGCATCAGGAAGGTGAAGGTCTACTTACTGTAAAATGAGAATGACAGAAGATTATTTAGAAAATACTGTACAGTACCATAAAAGTAATACACATGTGTTTAAGATCTGGCTGTGAAAAAGTGAAAACAGATAAATTCTGGGTATCTGTGTTAGATATGAGTATGGAGCTACGGAGGAAATGTGCAAATACAGGTGTGTGTGTGTGTGTGTGCAAGAGACCCTAAGCCAACATGTAACTCATTAGTAGATACAGAATACCTTATTGGATAGAGAGATATTTTTTAACATTTACTTCTAATGTTTCATATAAAAATAAGTATCAGATGTTCCACAATACTGCCAATTTAACTTCCCACTGCAAATAATATAAAGCTTAAAACAACACACTACAGTCCATTATTAATCACCATAAATTTTAAATTGGATTTGGCCTTCAGGAGGACCTACAAGTGGGAATAATTTCTGTATAGTATCTATTGTACATGCTTCATGTAACTTCCTCTAAAATAGTTTTAAGTTAAGACAAAGTTTAGCAGCTTAGCATTTCATATCACTTTTTTAAATTGACATGTTTCTTGCTGTTCCATAAATTAATTATAGAAGCTATCACAGTCTTAGTAGCAAACTACTTACTTTGTCACAACTTTTGTCCCAGCCAGACTGAGCTTAAAATATCAACTGCTATGAACAATCTTGAAAGAATGTTCCATAGGCCTGACAGCCTATTAGGGGCATTATGGATACAACACATGGTACACAAAAGAGCAGCATGACCCGCACTAAAATGGGCTGACTTCACTTTTCCAAACTAAATATGTAAAGAACATATTCACAGGTATAATATGTAAATTAAGGGTGCTGTGGGCATAAACCAGTAACCTTAAAGACTGGAGGCAAGCAATGCACCACTCAGTTGCCACACCCCTCATTTATCTCAAGTAGAGGCTAGTGGTTGCTATGATAATAAATTAAATATAAGTGGTCCCATGCTACAATAGGGCCACTGTGTAAGACTAAGTGTATTAGTACTCTTGTTAAGTCTAGTCCAATGAGAAGTTCCTGTAAATACCTGGACTAAAAAAAAATTAAATAGCAGAACTTAAAAGTCAATAAATCATAAGCTGAAAGTTGTAACATGACTATTAAGGTCACTGGGAATAAAACAGCTTTTTCCAAGTATGTATACAGGAACATCTACAGATTTCAGCCCTTGTACAGTACAGTATAGTCTCAGTTTACGCGGTCAATTAAACCCATGGAGGTCCGCGTAAACGAAATAACAGAACATATGGGATTAATTGAAATAGAGACTGGGCCGACCCCCAGACTACCCTTTTTCCGACACAATACGTACGTTGTAGTAAAAATAACATCTTAATTTTATGATGGTATGCACACACAATTAATATTTAAGAGAAATATCAATAATATTAGGTTTTTTAACACTTACGTTAGTAGAAGAGATGGCTGGGCACACGGGGATGGGGGGCTGGTTCTGAGGCAGAGGGCCAATAATTATTGGCCCTCACCTGTATCACCTGTATCACTATCCACCACAGAGGCTTGCAGGGCCTCTTTGTCAAACCCCTCAAAGTCCATATCCTCACTATCACTGACTTGGGCTGGCTGTGGTGAGTGGCGGGTAAAGAATTCGGTAATGTTTTGTTGACTGGGCGACCTAGTGCGCACCCTGCCCGAGCCGCTTCCCGCGTAAATGATGGAATGTACCGTGTAAATAATAATTGCCTTGTCTGGCCAGGTACCGCGTAAATGACCAAACACGTAAAGGAAATCCGCGTAAATCGAGACTACGTATACTGTATTCACTTTTAACTGCAATTGTCAGAGGTTTAGATGGCAAAATCACTTATTCAATGTTGGTCTTGGGTTACTGTATACAGTATATAGTGTATGTAATATTTCTACTGTTAAATATAAATTGATACACAATCAATCTCCTACCCTTCTGTATCTTGTCCCTCTGTTTCCCCACCATCTTTGCTGCAATGCTGAGGGTAGAATGACGTTAATTTGCTGTAATCCTCTGAAGTGATGTTGCAAACATTGCTGATGGTGGAGTTCCCAACATGAAGATCGAGATGTGGGGCCTCAGTGGTTGTAGTGGTGGCTGGAGTTGTAGGATCTAAGGCTTTACTTTCAGCACTCTGTATAAAGAAAGTTCAAAGGAGAATAAAGGTGATGTTGCTTATAGTATGGTACAAGTATAATGATATGGTACTGTATACCAGTAAACTAACCACATTGTCTAAAGATTCTAAAGTTATATTTATAAATCTGCTTTGTCACACATACAGTGGGGTATGCTATAACGAACGGATCCTACTACGAATATTCCTATAACGAACGGTTTTACCTATAAAATTGAGAATGCTATAACGAACGCAACTCCTACAACGAACGCGGATGAATACGGGATTATTTCGTCTGGCGCATGAATATTGTTGTACCGCGGCTCCCAGCAAGAGTGTCAGGCGCCATATTGGTTCATTGTGTAGTCAGTGCACCACTGAACTTGTTGAAATTTCGTCTTTTGATGTGGAAATTCGTGTCATTTTTATAACTATTTTGTTATACAAGTGTACAATTGTAACAATGAATCGTCAAAAGCGAGTGAGAATGCTAATAACCCTTGAAACTTTGAAAGAAGTTATAAATAAACAGACAAAGTGCCTGTAAGACAGTCACCAAAGAGGGCTAGGAAGGATGACTCCTCTCCTTCCACCTCTTCTCCATAATTCTTTCCTCCCCCCTCCTCCAATGCCTCCTGTCCTGCATGCTGAACAACACTAAGGTAAGATAAAGTACAGGTAGTTCTGCTATAACGCGATAATTGTGTTCTTGTAAAATATCGTGTTATAGAAAATCGCATAATAGAAATAACAGGGCTTATGAAGAAAATAGGGTTAGGTGCAGATTCCTCAAAATCGAAAAAATTTAGTAGTTAGCCTAATACAAAGGATACCACAGTCTAAATAAATGTTACATTCATATCTAATAATGAAATCATACAGTAAATGTAACACTACCTTGAAAAAATATGAATGTAACTTGAAGGGGGAGACGGGTGATTTTGAGGTAGATAACACCGAGCTTCTCTTCAAGTGTTATATCCTTTCTTTTACGATCATCACCGGGAATTCTATCACCAGAACGCTTCTTGGAGATATTCCTCTTTACGATATTCACAATTAATACCACAAAATTGGAGAAATAGTAAGCAAAAATCGCGTTATAGCAAACAAACGTTCGCGTTATACAAATATCGTTCCTAATTTATAAATCGCGTTAGAGCAAATTCGCGTTATCAAAACACTCGTTATAGCAGAACTCACTGTACTGTATTTTTTACAATTTCCACAGAAATTTTTCAGTGTTAAGTGGTTGTATTTGGGGGCCTGGAATGGATTAATCCTATAACGAACGAGGTTCTAGAACCAATTAGATTCGTTATAGCATACCCCACTGCTCAATTTATGACTCATACACCTAAACTGTAAATGGCTCCAATATATAAAATTATGATTCATGAGTTATTGTATTTTGACTATTCAGTACTGTATTATCACCTAATCTTATCCTCTCTGCTACTTGTTGGCTCACTAGCCAGTCAAGCTAACATGAATAATTATAAAAAAATTCTCAAATCTAAAAAAAATCTTAAGGATATCGCCATTTATGTATAGATGATGATGATGAAAACTTAAATCTTATGTTAGGAACATTATCCCAAAAAAGAAATAAAACAAAGATTTTCAAATTTCAAACAGTATTAATATTATGAGTTTGGTAAGACATATGAAAGTGGTACAGTGACTTCCCAGCAGCAGTAGTGGCATTATTGTCCTTTTCATACTCACAAACACATCAAGTGAATGTTGTTGTATTACATTGTACAGTAATATCTCCGTTAGCCAGAATCCTTCAAACCAGGAACTCTCCGATAGCCTGAATTGAAATTTTATCGGAAATTCTTTACCAAAGTCAGAATTTTCTGGAAAATTCCGGCTTTGGGAACGATTTTCCGAGGGGCACATTTTCCGGAAAATTTAGAGAAAATTTTCCCGATAACCGGAAAATTCTGGGAATGGGAGTTTTTTTTTCTGGGTTTGAGAGATAAAAATCAGGGTCATTTTCTGGAAATTCTGAGACAAATTTTCTGTTACCTGGAAAATTTCGGGGATGAGGGATATTTTTCAAGGTTCGAGAGATGATGTAATGGACAATTTCTGGAACTAACGAGAACATTTTTCCGTTACCCGGAAAATTTCAGGGATGAGAGATTTTTTTCCGGCTTTAAGAGAGTTGTTATGTTAGGTTTATGGAAAGGAAAGGACAGGCAATTGCTGACTGGGAACCATTCTGTCACTAAGCGTTCGGTGGTTAGTCGGTTAATGCAAAGTATCTCAATAGTGTTGGCAAAAACATGGTACCATCATGAAACAAGCAGTGGAAGCTTCTTTATGTAAAGTACATCAGAATACAAAAAGTGCTATTCCTTTATCAGATTTCCTTTATTCTTCAGGTATGGTAAGAACTAAATTTTCTTTTATTGAGATTATTTTGTTAGGAAGCTGGATACCCCACACTCTTGTTCTTAACTATTACAAAAGACTTTATTTTGTATTACCGTATTTTACTTTTGACTAACACAGGAATCTTAGGAATTTTATCTTCACTATAGGTACAGGGTAGTTACAATAATTCTAAGACACTTTTCAGTGCTACTATAGCATGTGGTTTACAAGATATTTAAGGTAAGTTAGCTTTGGTTAGGTTAAGTTAGATTAGGTATGGTTAGGTTAGGTTAGACTAAAGATACCTTTGTTGACAGCACATTATAGTAGCAGCCACATTTTTCTTATGATGATTCCCTTGCAAACAACTTATATATAATGGGGGGACCTGGGGGGTTCAGCCCCCTGATTAGGAGGTTAAGTTGGTCATTTGCAAGGGAAACGTCACAAAAGAAAAGTGTCTTAGAATTGCTTAAACTAGCTACTGATCGCAAACAAAAATATCCTAAGAATTCTACGTTGTCTGAAAGTACATTTATAAATTTTTCTTCGATAAAAAACTAGTTAAAATAGGTAGTTTAGGTGCAGAAGAATGGTTAAATAACACTTATTCAAAATATCAAAGATGTCACTAGTTATGTGGTATCTAGTTTTAATACTTACCATATCCATAATGTCATTCAGCAAGTTAGCTATGACAGGTGACTCAATAAAAACAAACAAAAGACGGTAAAATTGTAGTTTCACTACCAATTGGTTTTGCGACTAAAGTGGTATTAGAAAAATTTTTTGCAATTAACGAGATATAACTAATGGAGCACCCAATATTGCTCTAACCCAATAGGGAGTGAAACTGCAATCATACCCAAAAAGACTTACCTTTACTTCCCCTCCCGACTGAGTGTCTATACTCTGCTTCAGGGCTGGAGGTTTATCAGTGTCATTTCCTTTACCATTCTCCGTTCCTGCCTTCACCACTGCCTGAGGGGTTTCTTGGTCACTTGTTAAGCTGGCATCTTGTCCCAACACTAGCGTCACACATAGCACCAACGTTAGTATTAATCTCCAGCTCATTACGGAGTTTGAGGGTAGTCTCGGCCCTTGTCCTTATATTAATTCTTATATCACAACCCAAGCAGTCTCCGTACGAGTACTTGTCTTCCTTAATAGTGAACTTCTTTCGAACTCTCCATCATCGGAACCACACTGGGCTTCACACATGACACATCCAGGTAAGAAGTGGCAGAGCTGAGTGTGTGAACAGCTATGACGTCTACAATGTTTACGTTTACGTCGACAGCCAACTTTAGGTGGGCTCGTGGCCCCTGCCGATAACCAAATATAATAATGAATTACTCGATTATGGCTAACATCATTTATTATTTAACTATAATAGATATATTTTTTTATCTGACGTGATATATATGATAAAAATGAGCGAGCATGGCGACCCACAGGTTGGTCCTCCTCTGAGCACCCTCACCAACCAGCTCTCTCTACTCAACGCTTGTAACCATGCTGCCTTCCCAGCACCAAGCTGCATTGTACATCCAATATAACATGTATACAGAGAGCACATTGTGAGTTTCCTTTCTCCATCCCATGATTCCCATCCTGAGTGTGAACCAAACATCTTGAACCCCACAAAGTACTAGTAGGTGGAGGATGAAAAAACGCCAGTCCGCTACAAAGAATACGTGAAATATAAAAATAATTTTGTCCTTTATATACCAAATATATATAAAAATATGATCACCATCAGCTCCGTGCCACAACACCATGGCGGGTGCAAAATGGTTTCATTCCTTAATCATCTCCGAATAAAAATCTCAGGCCTTGTAGCTCACAAAGAGACCCCTCAGTTATTACTTCTTAAGTCTCCTATAGGATCAACTATATTATAACCCACCAAGAGACAACATGGGTTTTGTTTACACTCTAGAGAGAGATTTCCCATTCCAATAAAACAGGTGAAAAAAGACAGATACAATAATTTAAGCATCTGTATAATATCCAAGATAAATTGTTTAATACAACAACCTGTATCTGGCTATATGATGCCATCTATATTGTGACTGGAGAACTATAGCACTGTAGTGGAGGAAGGATGTGGTACTGGACCCACCACTATCAGCCACTATCAGAGGGGTTGTAAAGCGGTGACCTGTTATTTTTGGTAGGTTTCATTTACTTTTATCCTCTTCGCCCACTGATCGGCTTGTTAGCCGCTTGGGCGATCGGTCACGACTCTTTCCTTTATATTCTTCACCAAGGTCGGCTCCTTAGCCGCCCGGGCGATCGGTCACGTTCTGTCACGCACTGTTGGCAAATACTGGGCATGCACCGGCTCCTGAATGTACCTGAACCTGCTCCAGTGTTGGTCAAGTCTTCTTGAAAGAGCTCACACTCGGTGCCGTCACAACACTTTCTGGTAGATTGTTCCAAGAGTTTACAACCCTCACTCCGAAAAAGTTTGCCCTCACGGTTTTCCGGACTTGCGGCTTCTTCAATCTTGAGCTGTGACCCCTTGTGGGGCGAGCGTCCGCCAGCTCCAAGTAAGGACACTCAACTGAGTAGTGCCCCCTGAGATGCTTATAAACCTCAACTAGGTCCCCCCTTGCCCGTCTGTAGTATAAGCTAGGCAAGTTCAGGCGCTCCAATCTCTCAGGGTAGCTGAGATGCCGAAGTGCAGGCACCAGTTTGGTGGCCCTCCTTTGAACATTTTCAACCAACTGACAGTCCCTAGCATATCTCGGGGACCAGATGGGGTGACAGTACTCCAGATGGGGAAGCACTTCACTCCTGAAGATCGTCACGAGGGACGGACCGTCTAGATATCTGAACGACCTTCTTATAAGACCCAATAATTTATTTGCCTGATTTACCTTCTTCTCACAATGGCCTGAGAACTTCAGCTCATTGTCAACATACACACCTAGGTCCTTCTCACACACAGTCTCAACTAGTACATTTTCTTCATCCCGTTGGGACATATGGTACGCCTCCTTACCGTTGGTACGCCCCAGGTGCATCCTCTTACACTTCGTGACATTGAATCTCAGCAGCCATTCCTTCGACCATTCCTGGAGCCCACAGAGGTCCTTCTGCAGCTCTTCACAGTCCGCTTGGTTCTTAATTTCCCGAAATAACTTGGCGTCATCGGCAAACATTTGTATGGAGGAGTGTACAACGTCAGGCATATCATTTATGAAACAAACAAACAACAGCGGGCCCAATACACTACCCTGCGGTACCCCACTTGTTACAGGTACAGATGACGATTTCGTGCCATTAATCACCACACATTGCTTGCGGTCATGTAGAAAGTCTTCTATCCACGCTAGGACATTTCCCCGAATTCCGTACCCTTCCAGTTTGATTTTCAGCCTTTCGTGGGGTACACTGTCGAAAGCCTTGGCAAAATCTAGGTAAATATTGTCGATATTACCACCCCGTTCTAGAATATGGGTCCAAATATCCAATACCTTGAGCAATTGTGTCAAGCAAGAGCGCCCCGGCATAAAACCGTGTTGGCAATCTTTTACAAGGTTGTTTCGTAGTAGATGTTCCATCGCTGCATCTCTGATAATACTCTCAAGTACTTTACATATTATGCTGGTCAGGCTCACCGGTCTATAGTTGTTCGTGGAGTGACTATCGCCCTTCTTGAAGATAGGACTCACATAAGCCACTTTCCATTCACTGGGGACCATTTGTTCATCCAGGCATTTACAAAACAGAATCTTCAGGGGCTCTGCAAGCTCGTTGCACAGCTCCCTTAGCACTCTAGGATGCACCATGTCAGGTCCAGGACTCTTATGGACCTTTAGCCTGGACAGTTTATTTCTAATACCCTCTTCTGTGAACACAATGTGGGTCAGTGCTGTGTCGAACCGTCTGTCCTCAAACGCAGGAAGGTTAGTTGCATCCTCTCTTGTGAACACTGAGGAAAAGAAGCTGTTCAATGCCTCAGCTTTATCCTGGTCAGAATCTGCGTAACTACCATCTTCAAGCCTCAGGTCTGATACTCCTACTCGCGTTTTCAATTTCGACTTTGCATAGCGGTAAAACGCCTTTGGGTTTGACTTGACCTCGCGTGCAACCAGCCTTTGGAACTCCTTTTCAGCCCTCCTACACTCTATCTTTGCTTGGTTTCTGGCTCTTGCATACATCCTCCTGTCTTGCTCATCGTTTGACCCAACCCACGTCTTGAATTTCTGGGTTTTCTTCTTAATTTTGTCGACCGCCGCATGGTTCATGTGTAGGGATCCCCTCGTATTCCTAGAAGCACTGGGTTTGGTCTTGGGTATATATTTATCGATCAAATGGGTCATTTTACTAGTTATGATATTCAGCGTAGTGTCTGCGTTCTTGTACCTTAATAAGTCAGGCCAGTTGATACCCCTCATCTCTTCCCTCATCCCATTGTAATTTCCCTTGTAATATTTGCACCTTGGCCTGGCCTTATCTTGAACTAGGTAACAGTTAAATCTGAATGACAACACTGTATGGTGACTGGTGCCAACTGGGGCAAGGTGTTCCAGTTTGGCCACCATACCCTCCTCGTTTGTTATGATGAGGTCAAGTGGCTTGGGTGTTTGTTCCCCGATGTTGATAGTGTGGCGACAGCATATGGGTTGTTATTGTGGTACAGAGCTGGTAGCCTAGTTGATGGTAGTGTACTGGTAGTTGTAATGGTGTTAGTGTAAATAACTGTGGCGGTGGTATGTAAATGAAATTGTGGTAGAGGCCCAGGCTAGTGGAGTAGCCGAGATTGTGTAAGAGTGTTGGTTGCAGATATAATTTTGTTTTGGAAGCTTTAACTGTCGTATTGTGCTAGTGCTAATAACTGAGATTGTGGTACAGTAGTTGTTTACAGATAATTTTGACTAGTAGTGTACTGGTAACTAAAATTGTGGTAGTGATAGATGAAATATATCTTTATAGACTTTTCTCTCACCAGTCAGTTGTGTGTGAAGCAACTACCATTTTAACTACTAAAACAGTAAGAGCCACATTGTATAGTAAGACTTCCTTAATAACTTCCAACGTTAAAAAAAAAAATCATAGCGTCAAGGAAAATGGATGTTTTTCCTATCGACTGTCTGGGAACGTTTTCTTTGGTGCTCCGTCCGCTGCCCACACTGGTTATGACGCTCGTTAATCACTTTAATTACATTTACTTCCTTCCAGCTTATAATATCTCAGCCAGCAGCTTGTAGAGCCATTATTCAGACTCTTGCCTCCTTATCAACGAAGACTCCCAAGAAAATGCTATCACACACACGCGGGAAATGAGATGAAGAAACATGCGGAGGAGCAGCAATTGCAAGAAAAATGTTATTACTGCAATGTTTCTCTCATGACAGCTATGTTTCTTACATTGGTGTAGCAAGACTGCACCGGTTATTAGAAATGGAGTAAATTGTTGTTTCCTTACTCCCGGGCCCACGGGCTTTTATTTCAGAGGAGGAGACCAGCAATTATTGTTGCTGGCGGGTTTGGATGTAATTTCTTCGTGAACAAGATTTGCAGGTGATTTTGTTTTTAAGAACGAGATCACTTATGTTTTGTTTAAAAAGACGGGATCAGTCTTTTATTATTAATTAATAAAAGTCTGATCCCGTCTCTTCTGTTTAAGAAAATGGGATCAAACTTTAAGAGAACGAGAATTTGTTTTTGTCTGTGAGAACGACAGTCTTCACATATCCCGAGATAGAGAACAAGAAGCTCCATATTCTCAAAGGCTTGTGAGATGAATATTCCACGTAATTTTAAATGAATATGTAACACTTTATCTAACACGTTGACTTAAACTGTGTTAAGTCAGTCTACAGTTTGTCTTTACTTAAACTGTTATTCTTAGAGTGAAACTATACTCTTTCTTTACTCTAACTTGACTAACTAAAACGCCTGACTGGTCCAAGGTTAAACACTGACCTTTATTGTTAGCTATACTTAAGTTTAGACGTTAATATGGAAACAACAAAAGAAGCGGAAATACCTAAGAAATCGCCTCCCCCTCCCGCCACGCAACCCTAGACGGCAAATACCTCATCCCAATGCACGATGATCAGTAAGGTGATGTAACTCTCCATCACTGATCACTCCTCATAACACCGAGGGAGGCATTAGCTAGCAATGTATTAATCTTAAATATCTTATCTATACTTAATAAGCAATGTAATAGTAAATAACAATATGGGGGTACCTGTGTCCGTCGCACCTTTCCTCCTCCTCCTCACCTATCTTCCTCCCTACCTCTCCTCCTCTTCTCGTGGTGTACTTAATAATAAAAAAAATCTTCG